TATGTTAGGAGGATTGAATGATTATGAACTGAAAATAAGCCAGTTAATAAAATGATCAAATTATAATGACGAGTTTTTAAATATATATGCATGGATTGTTCTCTGATAAACCATAATTGTAACGATCGAAATCTCAGTATTTGATCTGAAAACAAAACTAACGAACTAATGTTTATTCGATTAGGTCAAACTATGTTCTTCTTTATATAATACGAATTGTTTTTGAGTAACTCGTATTAAAATATATCAAAGCACAAACTCTGTGTTCAGTTTAAGCAGTTCTAAATTAAGATAGAAAATAAATAATATCAAAAGTACTAAACACCTCAAATGGTACACCCTGTGCTGATAATCAATAAAAAAATATTTCCAAAAAGATGGGATCAGATATCTATCTGCAAATTATTATTATTATTATTATTATTATTATTATTATTATTATTATTATTATTATCAGCTTTATTCAATATTATATTTTTGGTACAATATAGAATTCTCAGCGTAAAGTATTTCAACAAGTTTCCGTTTCTTTCTTCTTCGTCGGTCCTGGCGATAAGTATTGAGTGATCTCCAGTTAGGTGTTAGTAGTTCAGTAAATGAACATCTGAATAATGTGCATTCTTTTCGTTGTATATTGCCAGCAACTACATTGTCTATTATTGAGTTTTTTGTAACTTTGAAAACGAAAGGTTGTACACTTTTCAGAAACGCAGCAGAATAGGTTGTGCGATTAATAAACATAATGATATATTAAAACAAACAAAAATAGATAACTTGTTGAAATATCTAGATGGCAGGAACAGGTAGCCCAGATGATCAAGCAGGCCGCCGAATACAATGCACTAACTTTTCCAGGCAGACAGTCAAAGGTTGACAATTATATACTGAACCACGCCATGACCTTGGGTTCAGTCAAACACAACCTTATTGTTAATAGTCCGGTAACATACAACAGTAAGATGAAGTAATTAAACGTAAATCTTTAAAGAGAGCAAGAACAAAGGTTGGTGCAGAATAATATGAATTCATTTTACTTCGTTAGGTTCTCATCAGCTGTTTACAACCTAAAATATTTGAATATCAACGTTATTACAGATATTGACATACTTATACATCAGAGGGTGATGAAGGATGAATATATGTAACATGATGTAGCAAAGATTTCGTTAGAGTTAATAAGGTCATAAAATTTTTGTTTAGAATATATAGAGTTTGGGAGGGAAGGTTCCAGAACATTGAAATAGTGATTAGAAATCATGGAATTAAAACACATTAGACGATTATGCAATGAAGTAACTGAAAATAGATTAATGTTAATATAGAGAGATATGAATTGAAATTGGTCAGTTATGAGTGATGTAATTATAAAATTCAGAAAGAGTTGGAATGACGTAATAAATAAAATAAAAATAAAAAAGGGGAGTAATGTTACCAGGGCAAAGAAAGATTTATTACTGTTTCTTTTTGTATACAAAGATCTGGTTTTAAACGTTTGATTGCTATCGCTTCGGCAAATTTCTAAAGGTTTGAATTTGATCACCTTGAAGGACTTCAGCATATCGACTTCGTGTCCTGTGTCAAGGAGATGTCTTGCAATGGCACTGCTGAATGCTTTTTGTTCGTTTGATCTCAAACCCTTCGGAATATGTTCTTTGAATCGGACGTAGGCTCTCCTTTCTGTTCTACCAATGTAACTGCTTTGGCAGATACATGTAAATTTGTATACACAGTTGGTAGTATTATGAAAGGGATACCTGTCGACCTTTGATTGTGTCAAGGAACATGTTATTTTGGACAGGACAATCAATTTCGCTGCAGGATAAGTTCTTGTCAATGCAGTTTTTAGTCTCATATTGATTGACCCTGTGACATTATCACCTTTGAATTTGAGTTGAATAAAAACAGGTTTTTTATTTACTGTAGTTTCTTTGGGTATTTTATCTCCACGTTTTCCATATTTCTCAATAAATTTCAATGGGTATCCGTTATTCTTTAAACACTTTTTAACATTCATAACTTCTTCTTCTACTGTATCGGTAGTACATATTCTTTCTGTTCTGTGAAACAATGTTTTGACAAGTGCCTTTTTATAATTGATTGGACAACAGCTGTTGAGATTGAGATAACTACCATTCCATGTGTCTTTCTTATAAACTGAGCGTTGAACTGTACCATCCTTTCTTCGTTTCATCGCGATATCGAGAAAATGGAACTTGTTTTATTTTTCATGTTCCATAGTGAAATGAATATTTGGATGAGCTTCATTGAAAATTTTTAGCAGATTTGTTGCGTGTTGTTTATTATTACATACGATGAAGGTATCACCAACATACATCGAACAATACATCATTTCATCAATCGCTCCTTTGAGCTTGGTTCTTTCGAGGTTAGCCATGTAAATGTCTGCTAGGACAGGGCCTAACGAACTTCCCATTGCTACACCACCGGTTTGTCAGTATATAGTATTGTTGAATTGGAACTAAACATTTTTTGTACACATGAGTAATAGTCGTTTGAATTCTATTGCTGGTAGAGGTAGGATGTCAGGATGCTGACAAATTATGTCTATGGTTTCAAGAAGTGGTATTTTTGTAAACAATGATGTCACATCAAAAGAAACTATAAACTTACCAGCAATGTTTATGTAATTCAAGCTGTCAGCAAATGCAAATGAATCCTTTAGTGTATAGGTGGCTAATCGTTGACGAAGTGGTTCTAATTTATCTGCCAGTCATCGTGCAACTTTGTGGTATGGTAAATCTTTAATCAAAGTCAAAAATCAAAGCCAAGACAAGGAAGACTGAAGAACATAAAGTGTAGCTAAAAGAGATCTGAATAAAGGTTAGAATACATGACAGGGAAAAGGGACGAAAATGCTTTGGAGAGACTTTCGGTGTGTTCTTTCCGTTACACTGGCTACCCAAATCCCTCCAGCTACGTAAAGACGTCTCTGAAAAGTCAAGCACTGCTTTCCTAAATAACTACTCTGTGTCAATTGGAAGCACAGGACTTACAACAATATGCCTGTAAAAGCCGAAGCATTCGAAGACTTTAGTGACTGACCAACTACTCTACCTTCATCAACGTACTTCTAACCGCTTTTTATGTCACTGACAGTGCCTTCTGTGATGGGCAGTGACTATATTCTACTGGTATCATCTGTGCAAGGGATAATAATACTGGTCCCAGCATCTAGTTTATAATCAATCTCCACTTTAGCCTATGATGAAAAACTTTTATCATCCATTACAACTAAAGGGGCTATTTTCGCTATATTACGTTCAGCATCGGTTTGAGAGATATGGTTTACTATATTCTGACTAAGCTTTCGAGGAATACTGAGCTCAAAAGAATCAAGTACTTTCTTTCTGTCACAATGATTATAATTGAAACCATGAGGCTATCTAAGTTAGATCACCATTAGAAACTTGGAAGCACTGGAAGACTGGTTCGTTCTAGTATGGTACTCCTCAGTAGTTCGATCCCCGGACGCGAGGTATTGGATGGGCATTACTGAGGGGCTCATACTAGGAAGAGACGCCTATCTAGTGCTCCCAGCCTTTGAATGATTGTGTAAATTCAACTGGTTCATGACTCAAATGAAATTTAACAATCTCGACAACCCCTTACTGGAAACTATGATTATAAATAGAATGAACAGATATCAATAGCCATCTTGAGAACATATAGCAAATCACTAAATCGAATTGAGTAAAAATCGATTTACAACCAATAGAAACATAATCAATATGTTGAATATCATCCTTGAGATAGACTACATTTTTCACTGTAATTAATGATGATAATTGATAAGAATATTAACTGACATCCCATTGTAAAAGATAGCTGTTACGTTTTATATCAGGATCCGGCTGTAGTCGTCATTCAATACCGTAATAGAGGTTCAGTCTAGGATATTTTGATCACGTGAAAATATGGTCCATAAGATCCCTTATCGACAGATAGCAAGGTTCTTGGTTAGATTCTTGATGTATATTATTTCGGGACTATCAAAGACGAAACAACTGTCTCCTACCTCCCAGTTTTCAATGGATCTTGAATTGATGCCAATGTGTGATAATAATGTACTAAATCGAACCATTATCTACAAATATTTCACGGATTTTAATGGCTTTTGACTACACTGATAAATGGTTATTACGCCATAGCTAAATTTTGGTAAACTTAACTGAGTCATATACATTTCGACTTAGTCTTTAGAAAAATCAAGAGATTAACTCAATATAATCTCTACTATCAAAATAGAAATTTATGATTTATGGTCTATGTTGTAAGAAGTCAACAAGAACAGTGCGAAGTGGTTTTGATCCATTAATTTCTCTTCTTCTGAATAGCAGAACCTAATATTTGGTTGAAACATGGACATTAAAAATTCTTACCATGTTTTTGACGAACCAACTATTCGGCCAATCGCTAACATACATTTAAGAATTCATTGTCACAATGGTAAGGAACTCACAGTTTTAACTAAACTATCCAGATATTATGTAATACTTTCTGTTAACTAATGTAAATATATTCATGGTGAAGTTTAAGTGTTTCAGATTAGATCCTTACAAGGACTGAAAAAAATTGCTCTATTAAATGTCATAATAATAATTACGATGGTAAACTATTGTAGTTGTTTACATATACTCACTCTTTTCTAAGAAGAATTTTGCTTGATTTCAACACTACAATCAATTGAATAAACTAGATGAATTATATTTAAAAATTAAAAGAAGTATTGATATGAAGTGTGGATTTATAATTTGTCGATCATTTAATCATAAATCTATGTACGTTACATTTACTTATTTCTACCTGAATATGTAAATAAAACTATTAGCCTATTTACACGTACAATAGTTTTATTATCAGAATGGGTTTTGTGGAGAATTTTAGAAATTTCACAGTTTGAAATCATGAGTCAGTTGAAGCTAGACCACCATTGAAAACCTGGAAGCACTGGACGGCCGTTTCGTCCTGGTATGGGACTCCTCAACAGTGCGCCTCCACAATAGTTTTGTTAAAATTTATCTCTCATTTAAATGAACTATTTATTATCATCAATATTTGTGTTTGTAATGTAAACTAAAACAACAAAATACAGATTGATTGTCATAACATTATGACACAGTTCATTAATATTTCGGTAGGCAGACGTAAAGAACATTGAAATATATTTAAACAGTGATTAAATCTTATTATTTAATACAATTACTACTACTACTACTACTACTACTACTACTACTACTACTACTACTACTACTACTACTACTACTACTACTACCCACTAGAAATATTCACATGGATAATAACAACTATATAAAATAAACAGTGAAAATAACCAGAAGAACAACAAAGACAAAAGAAACTAGTAGGACTATAAGCTAAACAATACGATTAGCACACTTATATACATAAATAATAATAACCAATGGAGAATTTAGTAAAATAATGAAGTTTATGTTGTAAAAGTCCATCTTATTATCACTGTCGATAATATAAAACCAAGGAAAAAGAGAAGAACAAAACACAACTACAATAACAAATAATCAATAAAGAGAGAACATAAAAATAAGGACTGATGTTCAATATTCGAATCCGTTTGAATGTCATATTGATTTTTAAGTCAAGTTTATGTTTATATGGATATTTATGAAGTAAACGCTCACTTTAAAATTTATGAATAAAAATTCCGTAAATATATATTGTAATTATTTGAAGAAAAGAACACATATATTTACAAGAATAGTGTGAGGTAGAATTCATACATAGTTTTTCTTGATTGTTCTTTAAAAAAGAAAAACAAAGAAGGAACCATGATCAAACAAATTCTATATTCATATGTTTAAATATTCACTAAACAAACTAGTTATAGTAAAAAAGAACTACTGTTCATGATTGAATAGTAGTATAGTTTGTGATATCCACAATGGTAAATTCTCAATCATCAACATGATAGTAACACAACATCAACAGTTGCATTAAAAGAAACACACACATATAACTGTAATCAATAAAAAATAGATGTGAAACAAACAAATAAATGGAACTAAACGAACAACATCAAAACAGAATGTTCTTTTTTCTTCTGTTTTTACTAAACATAAAACTATAGAATAATAGTAATTTGTGTAGACTATCCATTGTCATGATAATCTTTGATCGTTTCATCACTGTATACATACTGAATGAATAATAATAAATTCTTAGTTATATATTGGAATGTAATAATAGAAATGCTAATTGTAAATTTTCTTACAATAAAACAAAGAAATCCATGTAAATTGACTTGATTATTATTATTAGAATTGTGATTAAACTTTATCATTATTACTATTCATATTGGTTAATAATTCTAAATAAGCTGGAATAAATTCTGCATAATATTGACTTTCTTTTAAATAACGTAATATATGCGGTGGTAATGGTAATAAATCAATATGATCATGTCGAACATGTAATAGCAATTCAAAACGACATAAATGTACTAATGATGGAACAATTAAAAAACGCGACAATGGATGAATTAAAGAAGCTTTAATATGTGTAGTAGAGGTAGAACGGCGTGTGGATTCGAATGGTTGTGATGTATTATTATTATTATTAAATTGTTGAAGTTGCCGATGTTGGTCAGATTGATGTTGATCATTATTAATAAACTGTACACTGGTATTAATATTAATAGATGGTGAAGAGTCATCAAGAGTTGGTAAAAAATGCATACGATCTTGAAAAGAATCAACCATTACACGTTCAATACATTCAGCTACACTTGATGAAACATTGTCATTTAAATCATTTAACAGAGCCAGGCTAAATTTACCTGTAATTATAAATGAACAAATAACATAGGATAACTACTGTAATAAAATGAATATTTTAAAAATATTTTAGATAGGAAGTTTCTAAAGATTAGTAAATTTTCAGTTTACATCATAGACTAATCTTAGCTAGAAAACCGTTGGAAACTAGGAAGTATTGAACGTGCAGTAACGTGAAATTATAACGGTATGGTAGTCTAGATATTAAGAGCACACAATGAGATTGAATGTTCTGGGTCCGCCCGTTATGGCAGGGTCGTGGATGTGCACTGCTGAGAAATCCCATATTAGGATGAAACAGCTTTCCATTGATTCCTGGATCTCAATGGCTGTCTAATTAAAAGCATTCTGTGATGTAACTTGTGAAATTAGAATCTCAGTAGAATAAACAATTTCATAGTTAACATTTATATTAGTGTTGATTGGTGAATAAACTTTACCAGAATATTGAACATCTAGATTTATACTTTATTATCCGAATTCTCAAAAGTTATCTGATATTGCCATGAAACCTCAGAGACTCGAAATACAGTTCTTCAGTAAGGCAGTAAAATATATTTAATTTAGTGAATTAAAATTCGATCATTACTTACCACTACAGAAAAAGACTGACTAATCGGTTGTTTGTATACATCAAACCTTGCCACAAAAGATTTATTTTGCCATGGTAATTGTAGCGTTAATACTTCAAACCATAACATTTAATGACACTTTTAAATTTGCAATGAGCCATGCCTTTTAAGACAACATATAAGACTCGTTATTCGTGTGTTGAACACAAATTTTCTGAAGTGTAAGGCTCTCCATTAGCAATATAGACAGGACCAATATCAAATACAATTTACTGTTCTTTTGGTTTAAATTTCTGTTTTTAGTTGTTGATACCACTCGAAAAGTAAGACTGTAATTAGAGTCTGCCTGTTTATGTCTGCTCGTTTATACTACTTACTAATATTTAGTAACGTATATCGTCCTCAATCATTTTTAGGCGCTTGACGATGAATCTTCCCCGTTAATGTATGGTTTTACTAAGTATTTCTACGAAAATGTGATATTTGATCTATTTACTGTTGTAATTATATTTAATTAACACCCTTAGCCGTTTGTATTCATTTCTTGTGTTTTCATTAAACATTTGGTTATTTGTAACAGTGCACATACTTGTTGAGCACATTTATCGTTTCAATTTGTTAGTTGGTGAATTGACCGAGCTACTGGTTGTTACTTAGTCAACCAAACGTTTTTTTGTAAATAATTCCTATATAAATATCACAGAAGGTACTTCTTCTTTGTCCATACCTTGATATGTGTAAATATCTTCAATAGCTCACAAATTGGCGCTTGTGAAAATGCACTGCACCATTAGTAACAATACTATGTCACAGACAAATCTTGCATTTTGATTCCAGGATTTCTCAATGTCATCAATCATTTAGTCTGGAACTACTAGCAGTTCTGACATCATATAAGATGGGATAGGAAGAATATATACATAAAGTTCTCTTGATTAGATTGTAATAGGATATCTTCGAGATAATTCCTATATTTAATATATCATTCGTTCCGATAATCATTATTAAACAACTACCCGAGGTGTATAAATTCAAGAGACAGTATCAAGAGAAGACTACAGTTTGCTATCGTATAGGACAGATAACAAGACCATCAAATACACGACGAGAAAACATAAAATGAGAATGCAGGAGAATTTATAAAAGAATGGGTTTTAAGATGCACATATATATTAGAAAGCGAACGAGTTATCGAATTATTTAGTTAACTAACATCTAAGCCAGCAAGGCCTATATACGTGTGGGCTGTAATGTGTGATCATCCATAAATGATCATACAAACATGATAGCAATAATGTAAAGATATAGACAAATTGTTACCGACCGGACGACATCGTTTATTAGATAAGTTAATTAAAAAGCCTAATAGATTTAAATGCATAAAAACTCAAGTATAGTTGAGAGTGTTATAAGATAAGATTTAATATGTAAGGTATTTAACAACTATTTTTATTGTACCGATTCCTACTGTTAAGATAACTTACCAGCCAGATGTTCAATCCTTGTATGATAAATTTGACCACCAGAGCGAAAACTGACACTTAAAATATATGAATCATGACTACTGTCACGTACAAGAAAAGTTCCATCTGTGCAGTTTTTTAATAGCAATTCAGCTTCATCCACTGTCAATGGACCCCAGTACCAACCAATCTTTAATAGAAAAACATTTAATGTTGTTTATTGCACTACTTATGAGTAGTATAAAAAGATTTGTAAAACGTTTGAATAAAAACTTGGAAATCCAATCGAAAATTGAAAAATTCAACTTGTTTCTTATTGATAAGAAGTAAATAGTACAATATGGATGTCTAGAGAAGCGAATAATTTATTTGGTTCATGTACTTAAAATATGAATAACAGAAAATCTGTGTAAACGTCTTGAAATATAACAAAATGAAACTCGAGAATTCTTTGCTTTGTTGACTCAATTACATTTTTACGTAGCATTCATATTGGAATTAGAAAACTCCATTGAGATAAACTCATCTAGAATAAAGCAAATTCGTCGATATCAATGAGAAGATACAAACTACAAACCAAATTCAGCCTGAGAGTTGGAGATTTAAATAAGACATATGAAACTTGACAAATCACAAAAGTTCTTATAGTACAAAGTGATAATAGTCGGATAGCTCCTTAAATTATTTTAATTTTACTAACTCCTTGTAGATGTCCCTAAAAACCTTTGGAATCAATCAATATAAAGTACTTGAACCAAAATTCATAAAGAATTTTCTCATTTATTGAATAGGTATGGAAAAATGGTTAAAGAGAAGAAATATTTTACTAAGCTTATTAATTTGAAATAATCCTACATATTTTTAAATGAAAAAGAAAAAAACCCAGTGTATATGTACATTAGTGTAAGTTCTTAAATCGAATATAATACAAGTGATTATAAGCATTGATTAATACTTAAAAGTAATTTAAATGCGAAAACCAATTGAATTTAATTGATAATCCATTGAAGATTATAATCCACAATCACATAGTACTAAATAACTCCGCCTGTAGCTCTTATAGGGTTACTGCCGATCCCAAGCCCGGGTAAAGGAGGAGGGTTGGGCATGGGGTTAGCGTCCCTACCCCGTAGAAAACTAACTCGCTAAAAAAACGCTTACCAGTAACATAGTACTAAATATTTTATTTTTACAGAACAATTTAATTTGGATCGTCAAATAATATCTAAACTGATAAATAAAGCGGTATATTATCCAAAATAAAATTATCATTATTATGATCTCCCAGTTAATTAGCATCATTTCTGATATGATCATAACTGAAATTTACATCACAGTGATTAACAAAAAAAACTTAGGAATACCATTATTGAGATCTTTTCTTTACTATAATCTCGAAAAAACAACCAACATTAGCTGAGTTTGCTATATCTGAATGAAGAATAAATGAATGGTAACCGCTAGGAGCTATTTGTGAATTATTATTACATAGATTCTCAATGAATAATTACTAGGTGACTAGATTATATGTATATTCATATTCTTCTTGTCATAAGCATTCAGTTGACTTATTGGCTACTGTTATACGATTTACTCTTCTTAATTTATTACCAGTTTATTAGTTACAGTATCCCATACAACCACTTTTGACTTGATCTTATATAATATTTTTTTTAAATTTTATGGTGTGATGCAGTCTGGTCGGCTTGTATATAAAGCACATATGTCTGAGATATACAATTCACACACTGAAGGTTGATATTTGTGTTCTGGAATAAACAGGATGGGCTAGGTGAGTTGTTATACAGAAGACTAATGAGTTAACTTAAGGCTGATGGTGCTGTTTGACACACCACTGATGTAGCACAGGGACAAGGTCATAGAAATTCATATTTTGATTGGCGATTTTGTCACATGATACTTGACGGGTCATAGGATATAACAAAGCTGAACAATAAGAGCGGGGAGGTAGTGAATGCACAAATAGTTTGAACGTCACGGCGCATCATATATAAATTGGAAATGTCGTTTACGGATGAAGTAAATAACTTAACGAGGGTATTTCTCCCGGTTAACTCCATCCTGAGAAGATTCACTCAAAAAATATTATAGCATATTGAAAAAAATTAGGATGTACAGTTCAGGGTTTGGCAAAACCAATAACAATTTTTAAGACCTAAACCGTCAATTATGGGGTGTAGATCCTAATTCTAGCTCTAATACCTGAACTACATATCATAATCTTAACCCCAAATAATTATCCTCTTAGGCCTCAATAACAAGTCTGAATCCCAATCATGGCATTATAAAACCCTCATCCATTCGTTGTATTCTGATTGGCTGAGCGTATTAACAGCCTGCCAAACTCATTCCCCGATTCTCTCAAGCTCGTCCTTGTATTTCAACTCTAACCCAACATATAGAAAATAGTTAAATCTTGAATAGTGAATATATTCAATTATTATTTATAAATAACTTACGCGTTTTAAAAGTATCAAATCTGTTACAAACTTTTGATGAAGAAATGTATTAGCAGTAGTAGTAGTAATATCAGGTTTTGAAATATTCGTCGAATGTACTTTTTCATCAAAAGATTTACCATTAACTAAATTTGAACATATAATTTCTGAGTTGGTACATTTAACAATTTTGTCACCTTCATTCATATGCTCAACAACATCATGTTCAGGATTTTGTACAAGCGTTTGATTATGATGTTGATGATAATCTATGAAACATGATGAGATATTTCTTGTATTGAGTGAATGCTCATTATCTATTGTATTATTATTATTATTATTATTATTATTATTATTATTATTATTATTATTATTATTATTATTATCTACACTTGTTACATTGCCAATATTATCGTCCAATCTATTTGATTGTTTTCCTGTAAAATTTAAACACTGTAAAGTGATAACAGGTGATGAACAATCAATTTTTTTATTATCCGATGGAGATATTTTCCTACAATCAGATCTCATTTGATCTAGTTGACCAATAGTAGTATATTGGTTTTCTAAATTCAAATGAAAATTTCTTACAGCTTTGTTTTGTTTTGGATAATTTGTACAACATGTATTTGTTGTATGTTGATTATTCGTGAACTTTATATGACGTTGATTGAAATCATGACTTAAATGATGATGATGATGATGATGATGATGATGATGTTGTAGTCGACGGTGATGATGATGGTGATAATGGTGATGATGTTGACAAGAATAATAATGGTGGTAATACTGTTGTTTTAGATCATGATAATGTGATGATTGTACAATTCGATCATCTTGTTCATATTGATTATTAGAAGAAAATGAAACTACCCGATTATGATCACAGTAATTGAGGTATCTTTGACAAAAACAACAATCAGATACACATGATGTAAATGATATCTCATTATCAAGATGTAGTTCATTTAATTGATGTGAATTTATTGGACAACTTTGAGTACAAAAACAATTTATATCACTATATTTTGGAGAGATTTCATGAAATTTACTGTATGTTAAATCATTGAGAGACATAATTGAACTGCAAGAATTATTATTGGAAACTATAGGAGATTGATTAGTATGACAAAAACCTATTAAATTTTCAACTGATTTCTCATTAGATATTAATGATGATGAGGAGAATGGTAAACTTCCCTTTTTCAAATTGTTTATGCATTCAATATTTGATCTGAATAATAAAATAAAAATATAAGAGACGAACTATATTTATTAAGTGTTAGTTTGAACAATTTCAGCAGTTACATTTTAGTCGAATTTTAGAAGTACTTTAAAAAAAAAGAAGAAACAGTCGGTAATAAATATTAAGTTGTAATTATATATATACCCAGCAGATAACAGATTCAAACTTCAATCTACTTATTACTATTTGAACTGTGAAACAAGATCACTAGTCTCTATATAAACATTGTGACTTTAAGCTGAGTACATTAATTTGCATTGATTATGATCTTGGTGATTAATTATTTAAACTATTTTGAACTATAAATTTTGTAAGAGGGTTTTGTAATATTATCTAGTTGACCAAAAATTCAATGATTGGTAGTTAATTACCACAGCCAACCATTAAACGACTAATTTATTTAATAGCCTACTTCTATTGTGATATGAAAAACATGTATATTAAATTTATTTCATTAACACTTGAATCATTTAGGATTCCGTTCAACTGTCATCATAAATGAATGATAAATATTAGCTTTTTAACTCACTACACGTAAGTTGCTATTATTTGATCACAGATGTCTTAGAAATATAGCTCGCATCTGCTGGGATCACCGGTTAAATAATAGTGAGATTAAGCGCAGGGTATTAGGGAATAATGGTCGTAAATCGTCACCAACTGAGATGGTTGGGCTACATGTTACGCATGGCTAAACACCGATTACCACGACGCTCAATGCTGACTAGTGTTGAAGATGGTTGACAGAAAGGGGCGGCCAAACTAAAACGTGGCATCAGTCCTTGAAGTTACTAACTTCTGGTCTGAGCAATGTTGGTAGTTGCAGACTACTAGGTTGGGATCCGCGCGACTATCTTAAACAATGGTTGGAAACTCTGGGTGACATGGATGAGGATCGATCACAATGGCGTAGGTGTATACACTTTGTCTTCCTTTAAACCGCGAGATTAGAATAACTTTATCTTTCTACGAACCACTTCTTTCTCTCTGCATTATTTCCTCATATGCAATCTTCATTTTATACATTACCACTACTGAAGTAACTACTTTATGAATTTGGTGATCATCTTGTAGTGCTAATGAAGTGCGGCAACTTGGACCGATGTATATATATGCCTGGTCTGACGTTGTAGCTAACTGTCTGACCTCACTAAATATTTAATTATACGAAAATGTAGACAAATAACACTGAATTTTACAATTAATCTAAGTACAACAAAACAACTCTTTATCGAAATCGTTCCATAATAAAGGAAATTAAATAATGACACGTTTTTAAATGTATTTTAACATAAAAATCAGTTCTCCTATAACTGTCAAAATTTGTAGATAAACCATAAAGTAAGTGGATACAGTATTCATAATAAACTGTTAGAGGTATGTGGCAGAAAATCATCCACTTAAATAATAATAATAATAATAATAATAATAATAATAATAATAATAATAATAATAATAATAATAGTAATAATAATAATAATAAAGGTAATGATAATAAAAATTGTGACAGAGCCAATAACGTTTCAATATGGATATCAGTTCAATCTTGTGGTTATGTGATGCTAAACAGTTTTAAACAATGCCAAAATATTTTTCTGGTTTTAGACTATCTGTAATGAGTCCTTAATTAAATTTCAGTTTTTTAAGAAAAATATCTTAATTTACATGCTTTTTCAACCGATTAGTGTTATGTCCCGACAAGAATAATGGATGGTAACTTTTGGGATCTATTGATGAACCAATACTAGACGTATATTTCTATTGTATAACTATTAAGTAACTAAACTATGCATATTCATATTCCTCTTATTATAAGCTTTATTTTGACCCATAAACTATTATTATACGTTTTACCATTCTTGAGTTATACCCAGTATATTAATTATCACTTCTATCATTCACAGCCACATCTGGCTAATTCTTGTACAAATGTTGTTTCATATTTTATTGGTACGTTGTGGTCTGTTTGATTGGTGTATAAACTCAGTATGTTTGGAATATAATGATTCATATTGCAGAGGCTGAAACTTGTGTTCTGGACTTATCTGGCTGGGCTAGACGGAAAGCAGGGCCAATCAGAACTCTAGGCTGCTCATACGGGTTTACGCGCCATTGATCCGATCGGTAAGTCACTATTCCCTAATCGGCGGTCACAAGTTATAACAATTAGATCTCTACAATTATCAACCTAAAAATCACATCTATCCATCTGTTTAATTTGCCATACCACATCAGTACGGTAAGGTGAAATTATCAAGACAATAGTCGGAGTGGTAAAAGTCGTGACAGTATTAGAAGTAGTAGTAAGAATAATAATAACAATAGGGAAAAGTGGACAGAAACAATATAATTCAAGAAGAAAGAACAAATTTACGAAGTAAAAGATATAAATATTTTCAGGAAAAGAATGTATTTGTGTCATTACAACCGATTCTAAATCATTCTATTTAATTTCTTTAACCACTTGTTATAATAATCATGAGGACATCAGCTCAGATATTCTGATTCTACCTAGATGGCTTAGTTAAACAGTCAATGATTATCAAATTAAATAAATGTATTTGAATTGTATCAATAACAATAATTGAATATAAATACGTTTACACTTAGTTGTGATAAACTACTACGCAAAAGGAAAATAAATCAACTTACGATAAAATATTTCGATTAGAATTATTAATTTCACTTGATAATTGTATTTTTGTTTTAGATTCACTACAAAAATGATCATTATTGTGTAGGTTAGATTTAATTTTGCCAGATTTTTCATCTGATTGACTTCGTGATCTAATCGGTTCAAATTTTCTTACTTGATAACGATAAGAATTTGAAATAGAGGCAGATTTATTATTATGTATCGGTATGGAAGATGATACACGATCTGATGATGTTCTTGAATAATTTATTGTATGTACACGTTGAAACCAATTAGATAATTTTACAAAAATGTAATTCCATCGAAAACCAACAGGAAGACGTGAAAATTCTTCTTTATTTAATTGATTAGCAACCTGGTGATGATTTGCATCATTTTTAGTACATAATAAATCATCTGAATTAAATTCATTGCTTTTAGTTAATGATATAAAATGTGAAGACTTTTTCAATCTCATTGGAGGTGATTGCGATTTGATTAATTTATTTGTAGTTGAATTTAATGACTGAAAAGAAGTTTTTGTTTGGAAATATTCATCATCTAAAGTTGAATGATCTGTTTTCGGGAAAAAATAATTTCAGATTATATGATCAAAATGTAAACGAATGCAATACGAAACAAAAGTTAATGAACTAATGAACATGACAGTCAATCAATTTCTCAGTACTACGCGTACATAATTCGTTTAATTTATATTGGTTATTTTAGAAAATGATGATATCTTTCGGTGCGGTCCTGAATAATTCTCCTAATAAACCCATGAAATCTAAAAGACATCAAGTTGATCAGTGTGAAACATAGAAGGATAGTGTAAGGTCTGTGGTCTGAATAAGCTACGACGCATGGTTGTAACACTTAAGTAACACACAACTAGACAGAGAAAGAAGTAAAAGACATATAGCCAACTGTATCCCTCAATCCCCAATAGTCAAACTCATAATTCATTCATATTTGTCGGTCGCCATGGCTATCCAGATAAGTTATAGTAGGTATCAACAAGTCTATCCTAATTCTCGTTTAGTACTAAACCAGATTACCGTTTCTATGACAATGGTCAATAGTATAAAACTCGATACGAAGTTGTTAAAATGAACTTTATTTCAAACGTGTAACACAAGAAATGAGACTAGGAAATGGTTAAACAGGAGAGTGAATTAATGTATCAATTCTGATGCTCTCGAAGAAGAAACAAACTTCTGACCAAGAAACTGATATCAAACAGTTATCCGACAAAGTTCTTAAATCGGTTTAAAACTCAGATAACACCAAAACTCTTGAATTCTGTCTCGAAGAAGAGTATATAATTGTTAATTCTATCGAAGCGTCGAAGTAACCCCGATTGAGATACGCGCAAAATCGAAGTTCCAAACCAACGATTTGTCTACAAAAGCGGTTCTTTATTAAATAATACACAAAATTTAGTTACAAACCTCAACTTGTGAGGTGTCTAGGCGTTTAAACGCGTCGTTCAAGAATTAAAATAGCAAAAGCTTCCTGTAAGAGTAACATAAAGAATGATTACAACATACGATAGTCCAAAGACAGCCGATAGCTGTGTCTAAATTTGGTAACAGTTTATGAACAACCGAAACTCGAACCAAGAGCAAACAATATGGAAACTGTTGCATTCAAACAAATGCACAAAACTGTGGATAACCTTTACAGTAATTAAATTACAGTGATTATAATGATAAATACAATTATAAGTAAAATAAACATTAAAGATATATGTGAACATTCCAGAATGTTACAGTACAACTTGAGTTACAACATAAGTGTGAAAATTGTTGGGTATACAGCTGCCTACTGAATGTAAATAAGTAGTATAAAACAACATACAAAAGAGTATAAAAGGAACATGTAGGAACAATGTAAAACAAACTTAACACCGCCCCCCAAAGACAGCATGTCTTTCCTTACTTTCGCTGATTAGGTATTAACGTAAAAACATTCAGAGGTGACAATGGTACGATTTACTCTAGCCACAGTCACTCTGAAAAGTCTCTCTATCCTCTACTTTTCGGTCATCAGCTCCTTCTAATAAACAAATTTTACATATGCCTCTAATAATTGTACCCTTCCACGTTCTGATCTTCGCTTGGTTCCATAGACCATCTCCTCCTGGGTCAAAACTTACCACGAGGCCTTTAGACCAGTTATTTCGTGCATAAGTGTCCTCAATAATCAAGACTGGACCGCGAACTTGTAAATCTCGTCTTCCTTGTGTCCATTTTGTTCGCGTCTGTAAGAGTGGTCTATCATTAGGTATTCTTTCTGCTTCAGTCAAACAGGTGGTGAGTGTCTCGTAGGACATAGATACTGCGCTCAAAAGTCTGCGTATGCTTCCTATTAATCTTTCCCATACTCGATGATGATTTGCGTAAGGAGTGTTATGGTGCCATTCTATGTTCCGATGAGTCATTTCTTTGGCTACTCTACTATCCTTAAAGTCTGGTAATGGATGTTGTATCTGCTTGTCTAACCCAACTAAAGGAGACATGGATACAGTTGTCTTAAACTTCTTATCATCAGCAGCATACTGAATAAAACAATCATCTTTCTGATTCTCTGTTTCACGCTTGATGTCAATAGAACTCTCAGCAGACGCCACTACAGGAGATACAAGTTTCGTATTTGCAGAGAACTGAGTTGTTGTTGCTTTGCAACTAATTGATGACTCGTGTAGTAGTATCACAGACTTAGCACTATCGTTCACGTCAGAAACACTAGGGAGATCTGTTTCGGCAGAGAACATAACAGATGTTTTCGATGACATTAACTCGCCGCTATCTGTTGGAAGAATTTTGTCTGGAGGAGAAATACATCTAAGGTCAATATTCACTACTGTATCGACGTGACTATCGTTGACAGTTTTTAGAAGGTACTCATCGTCAACAGCTGGTAATGAAATAACTTTCTCTAAATCCATTAAATTCTCGTCTGTCGCTTTAGATACAGAATCAAAGGTGTCTATAAGTCGGTTACTTCTTGAATCAGGTGGAGTGTTAAATCCAGAAGAACGAACTGACGGTAAGCCTTGATGAACCCTGGAATCTTCAGTCTCAACAGCGGCTGCTGCTACTATGAGTGAGTGTACATCATCATTATCGACTAAGAGTGCCACATCAGGAGAGTGCTTAAGGCATAAACCAGGATCATCTATGAACGGCAACAAACGATTTGAAGAGTTTTCAGGCCCTACTGTGGTCAAAGTAAGGGGCGGCGTGGGTCCATCCTCGATAGAACTCTTTGCTTCTAAACAGTTTATGAAGACTGAAGTTTTATTAAGTTGACCCGTTGGTCCAAATAAAGCCCACCCTAACATGGTTAGTGAAGCATAGGGTTGTTTAGGTTTTCCGATACGCTGATCGAGTACCCAGTGGGCCTCTGGAACGTCAACACCAAGTAACAAACCAACCTTGTCACAGGCTATGGTGGGTAGTTGTACATCTTTCAAGTGTTTCCATCTTTCTTGGAAGTCCGTTGGTGGGATTTCTGCTCTTTTAATAGGCAAGTTATCTATTGCATATGCACCTTCGATTTTTATTCGGTTGGTCTTATCTAAAGACTCAATTTCGAATGAAAATAGCAAAAGCTTCCTGTAAGAGTAACATAAAGAATGATTACAACATACGATAGTCCAAAGACAGCCGATAGCTGTGTCTAAATTTGGTAACAGTTTATGAACAACCGAAACTCGAACCAAGAGCAAACAATATGGAAACTGTTGCATTCAAACAAATGCACAAAACTGTGGATAACCTTTACAGTAATTAAATTACAGTGATTATAATGATAAATACAATTATAAGTAAAATCAACATTAAAGATATATGTGAACATTCCAGAATGTTACAGTACAACTTGAGTTACAACATAAGTGTGAAAATTGTTGGGTATACAGCTGCCTACTGAATGTAAATAAGTAGTATAAAACAACATACAAAAGAGTATAAAAGGAACATGTAGGAACAATGTAAAACAAACTTAACACCGCCCCCCAAAGACAGCATGTCTTTCCTTACTTTCGCTGATTAGGTATTAACGTAAAAACATTCAGAGGTGACAATGGTACGATTTACTCTAGCCACAGTCACTCTGAAAAGTCTCTCTATCCTCTACTTTTCGGTCATCAGCTCCTTCTAATAAACAAATTTTACATATGCCTCTAATAATTGTACCCTTCCACGTTCTGATCTTCGCTTGGTTCCATAGACCATCTCCTCCTGGGTCAAAACTTACCACGAGGCCTTTAGACCAGTTATTTCGTGCATAAGTGTCCTCAATAATCAAGACTGGACCGCGAACTTGTAAATCTCGTCTTCCTTGTGTCCATTTTGTTCGCGTCTGTAAGAGTGGTCTATCATTAGGTATTCTTTCTGCTTCAGTCAAACAGGTGGTGAGTGTCTCGTAGGACATAGATACTGCGCTCAAAAGTCTGCGTATGCTTCCTATTAATCTTTCCCATACTCGATGATGATTTGCGTAAGGAGTGTTATGGTGCCATTCTATGTTCCGATGAGTCATTTCTTTGGCTACTCTACTATCCTTAAAGTCTGGTAATGGATGTTGTATCTGCTTGTCTAACCCAACTAAAGGAGACATGGATACAGTTGTCTTAAACTTCTTATCATCAGCAGCATACTGAATAAAACAATCATCTTTCTGATTCTCTGTTTCACGCTTGATGTCAATAGAACTCTCAGCAGACGCCACTACAGGAGATACAAGTTTCGTATTTGCAGAGAACTGAGTTGTTGTTGCTTTGCAACTAATTGATGACTCGTGTAGTAGTATCACAGACTTAGCACTATCGTTCACGTCAGAAACACTAGGGAGATCTGTTTCGGCAGAGAACATAACAGATGTTTTCGATGACATTAACTCGCCGCTATCTGTTGGAAGAATTTTGTCTGGAGGAGAAATACATCTAAGGTCAATATTCACTACTGTATCGACGTGACTATCGTTGACAGTTTTTAGAAGGTACTCATCGTCAACAGCTGGTAATGAAATAACTTTCTCTAAATCCATTAAATTCTCGTCTGTCGCTTTAGATACAGAATCAAAGGTGTCTATAAGTCGGTTACTTCTTGAATCAGGTGGAGTGTTAAATCCAGAAGAACGAACTGACGGTAAGCCTTGATGAACCCTGGAATCTTCAGTCTCAACAGCGGCTGCTGCTACTATGAGTGAGTGTACATCATCATTATCGACTAAGAGTGCCACATCAGGAGAGTGCTTAAGGCATAAACCAGGATCATCTATGAACGGCAACAAACGATTTGAAGAGTTTTCAGGCCCTACTGCGGTCAAAGTAAGGGGCGGCGTGGGTCCATCCTCGATAGAACTCTTTGCTTCTAAACAGTTTATGAAGACTGAAGTTTTATTAAGTTGACCCGTTGGTCCAAATAAAGCCCACCCTAACATGGTTAGTGAAGCATAGGGTTGTTTAGGTTTTCCGATACGCTGATCGAGTACCCAGTGGGCCTCTGGAACGTCAACACCAAGTAACAAACCAACCTTGTCACAGGCTATGGTGGGTAGTTGTACAT